CGACTGCCGCCTTTTGACGTCATCGCCTCTTCGGCACTTGCCAAAAAATCATCTCATTTGGTCTATATACCATATACTATGGTCCATCAAAAGGTGTGCTAGGCGGTTTTTTTTTTGTTCACTTTTTGGCTGGGCTGGTTAGACTTTCGCAAGATTTAATGTGTGCTGGCGCTTTGCCCGCGATGTCGGTCCGCATTTCACGCTTCATTGGCGGGCAAAAGTGACGTTGTCGCGTCTGCTTTGATTTTGATAAAATAGGCCAAAGTGTTCATCAATAATAATTTCTGTAAAGATCGGTGAGCGAAGCAATTATTTTTACAACATTAATGAACAGCTCGCCAACGGTCGCCCAAGACATGTTGGCCCAGGCAAAGCAATCAATTTTTTTGGAGCATCCTTCAAAAATCAACGCTTCCAACGTGTGGGCGTTTAAATGACATCTTTTTTGTTCTAGTTTTTATGAAATATATTGCTAACAAGTTCTGGGAAATAAGCCAAGCACGTGATTTTTACAACACCTTTTCAATTAGAGGTCATAGTGAGAGCTATTGATTCCATGCAGTATATTTTGGTATTTGTACCTAATTAAAAACATGCCCCACTGTGGCTTCACCTACCCGCTGATTTCGGAATTTTCTGTTAAGATGACGTATATATGAAAACAATAACCAGTCTTGTGAGGCGTGTTAATAAAGTATGTGCCTACTTAGGCGTATATACAAAAAAGAAAAAAATTGTACCTAAAAATACTAGATATTTGTATAAAAAATTTTTATTTTCTAAATTTAAGTATTTCTGAGACAAGCATTTGAATTTTTTTGAGATCTTCAAGACATTATTAAATTTGTATTTACTCCAGGTGTACTTCACTTTCTATATACCCACAAAATTAATTATTTAATTTTAATATCTTGACTCAAACTTCCATTTGTCAAAAAAAAGCGCCACAATATTGCGCAACCTCCAAAATATTCCTCATATTTTATTCATTGGTAGCCCAGAACGAAAACAACTGTAGAAATTGTATACAAAAAAATTTCGCGAAAAGCCAAGAAGATGCAGACGTGCCTCTTGGCAGCTACCACGCCCACTTTCCCAAAAGTGTTCCAATTTCCCAGGTTCATTCGGGGCCCACCTCTCTCCAAGATTCCCGAGAAGGCATAAATCAAGTGACTTTCACTTCTGGCTGTTCCGCCTTCGCCTGTTTTATCTTTTTTTTGTGTTGTTTTTGGCGAAAATTAATTTTTTTCTTATCTGTATTATTATTACGGGGAATGTTGTCAAAATTAATTTTATAACACATGCACACTTTTATTTGATGAGGCATACCTATAGAGGCGAATAAGTATCGGTGATTACTTGTCACGATCGAGTGTTCTCGCTTTTTCCTTTTTTTTTTGGGTGGAATAAACTGTCGGTTTTTATGGGACAATATCCCCCGCATTGGAGACAAGGTGCCCAGAGACAATTACAAATGCATTGGCAATTGCAGACAAGGGTTGCATAGTTTCCGGCACGCATTTCGCTCGCTTTGTGCCATTATTTTATTTCCAATTCCCGGGGAGGGAAACGAGTCGACCAGACTCGCTGTCCAGACGGGAAAGTTCAACGCACCGATGGAATCATCATCATCGGGCTGCAGACGGGAACCCAGAGCCATTGTTGAATGGCAATTGGCCATAACCAGACCAAGGAATCACAATCGGACTGAACTATTTGCAATTCCCCAGCCCCAAAGCAGACCGACCCCCCGAAGAACATCAAGCGCAGACAACCCGCTGACTCAGAAATGTGGCCCCATCCCCCCGAGAACTGTCAACATTTTGCGGCGTCCCCATTTCGTGGCGAATGAATTTACAATTCCTGCAGTGAGCACACCTTTTTTACAATGTACACATAGAGAAAATAAACTTACAATATCCATTAAATTTTTCTGCTTACTAAGCCCAATTCTAAAGGTGTTAGGGTCACCAGAAAAATTTCGAACTTTCTGGAGGTATTAACATATGTATATATTTTTATCATAACAAAGTTTCTTTATTATAAAAATACACAAAAAATATATGATTTCAAGGTTTGGTTAGTATTTGTAAACCAAATTTATAAAGGTTTTGGGTCACCAAAAAAATAATTATATAAAAAAGATTATTCTATTCCTCTGGGGTAATATTACTTTACGATTGTAAGACCAAACCTATAAGATTCTTCTCAGAATTTAGTTTCTCTATTTTAATTATACTAGCTTAAATATATAGTATTTTAGTATGCCCATTTTTAAGCCAATTTCATAAAGGTTCATTTTAAGACCAAACCTATAAGATTCATCTCAGAATTTAGTTTCTCTATTTTAATTATACTAGCTTAAATATATAGTATTTTAGTATTCCCATTTTTAAACCAATTTCATAAAGGTTTTGGGTCACCAAAAAAATAATTATATAAAAGGTTTATTTTTTTCTGCTTAAAAAACTACTTCTAGGGTAATATTACTTTACGAATTCTAAAACCAAACCTATAATATATTGTATCTCCAAAAAAATTAATAGATGTTAATTTAAGAATAATGGTACAAATGAAAATGATGTTATAAATAAAAGTCATAGGTAAATTACATAATTTTTTATTTAACTTGATTATTTTCTCCATGTGCAGAAGGAAAACGTGAAATTTCCCAGATCTCTTTGGGGTCTGGATAACTGCAAATAAGAACGAGGAAAAGTGAACCGCAACCGCCCATTTCGTGAGTCCCCATTGTTTATGGTCCGCTGCGGTGGCCACTGTCAAGTGAACATCTGAAGCACCGACCATTTTCGACACCCACATTTCACCGGGATGCGAGCACCTCAAACACTGGAGCAGGAATGCTTTCAACTTATTTCACGGCGCTGTCTTGTTATTGGGATCAAGTCAATATTTGTCGAGTAAAAATTACTTCCTGTGGCATTTCTTAAGTACCCTCATTTTCTTTGGTCGGCCGGCCACCTTTAGGTTTGCATTCTTGCTGCTGTCTTAATTTAAAAATGAAAACACAATTGTTTGAATAACTTCACGTGATTGAAAATGTTTTAATTAGGGAATGTTCCAAGTTTTTGGGGCACTGGAATTTGTCATCTTTTAATGAAAAAAGTTTATTTATCTTTCATGTTTTAAGAATTGGTTGCATGGGTGTTTATTTAATAAACATTTTTGTTTATCTACTTGCTTCATATAATTTATTAACATTTGATGGGGCAAACTTTCTTGAAAGTGGTGCTTTTTTTTACATATTTGATGAAGTTTCGTCTTTTTTGCTTATATTTTACTTGGCAAAATTTTTCATATTTCTTAAAAGATGATAAGTATAACAAGCTTTTACTTAAGATTGCGAGGTGTATGCTATAAATGTTAAATATTTGTTAGTTTAAAACTCAACTTTTAAAATTGAAAGTATTTTAAACGATCTTTTGTTTGCTAGAATATGATAACATACCATTTCCAAGAAAGAAAAATTGACATTTTCATATAACATACCTTTTTTAAGTTTAAATAAAATTTAATCAAACTGTTGAACACACCATTTCCATTTCCCAGAACATACAATTGTAATTTAAATATGAAATACCTTTTTTATTGTTAAAAATTTTTTAATCAAACTTTTAGTGGCTAGAACAAGAGAACACTCCATTACCATTACCCAGAATTTCCGACCTGCGCCACCATTTTATTATTGTCACCGCCAAACTTTTGTAATATCAAAATTGCATTATTTTCGTTGAGTTCGCTCGTGGAAAATGTGTATGAAAGCCGTGTCCTGTCCAATTTTCCAGAGGACATGTGCGCCGATCTGCCATTTTGGGATTGACTTTCGATTTTTTACGTCTGACCGGAATGAAGTTGAACAGGAAACGCGGAGGGGGCGGCCTGGAGCACTTGTCATGTCAGTGGGGGCGGTAAACTGGGCTGTTGTCCTTGTTGTTGCCCCCGTTGTTTGCCTGTATGTTTTTTTGTTGTTTGCTCTGTCGTCGTTGTGTTGGTATTGGCCAAAAGTGCCGGCTCCATCGCCGAAAGCGTGTCGAACGTTACATGTGGCAACTTTAATGCGCGGAGCTCGGCAAACACAAATTCAAATGTGTACACAAAAAGTCAAGGACTCGCAAAGTTATCAGATTTATACGCTGCAACTCGAATGAGGCAAGGCAAACACTTGCGCTGATTGCTTATCCAATTTATAACCGAATCGGGAGGCTGTGAGATACATCTCTAACTGGCCTGCATTTTTCGGCTCAACCTTCGGGCGGCGAATTACATTTGCTTCGAGCAATTTGCACTTGAGTTTTTGTGTCTCATTGCGTAAAGATGTCAGCGTATCCATTAGATACACGCAATTAGCGTCCCCATAGAGTGCCATTAGCTGGAATTCATAGTCGCTCTTGAGCGCGTGGACATGCCGGAAGTGTCGGCGACCTTTGATCCAATGATGTTGGCCTAAAAGCCTGGCGGTCGCTGCAATTACGGCTGTGGTTTGCATGGCGAACTTTCGGTATCCTGCATCCTTGATCAGAGACACGCAAAGGATTGTCAACGCCTGCAACTACGTTCAAACCACAGCAATTAGCTAGTGTGCCCCGGCTTAATAGCTGTGTAATTGGCTATCGGTAGGGCTTTACGTTTGAAAGTTATCCGGCCGTAACCTTTGACTATATCATAAAAGGCTTTAATTAGGGCGGTTTGATGTTGGAACTATACAAAAAGAAGTCCACCCAGTGAGTTACACCAAGAGAAAAAGCGAAGTATGTGTAATTACACGGTTTTTTTTAACCTTCCAGTACTATCTAGAACGAACTTTAGTTTGCATTACTAAATAAGTACGTTTTCTAGTTTCTGAATTTTGACAGACATATTCCAAACATTTATATAATTCAAAAGTATGAATATATTATATTCATTTACTATTACAGTGTTTTTGCTATGCCTACTTCATGAAATTATTTCATAAATGGACAAAAATAGTGTTTTATAAATTTGTTAACACACGACTTTTGGCTATGAATTTAGCCTTAAAGCATTAAATTCTGAGGCACACCCTACTTAATTCTATAGAGCTTTATATAATTTTCAAAAAATAGGTCACCTCTGCTGATATCACTTTATGAGTTTGGCTCATTTTTTATCAAGTGTTCGAAAATGCATGAAATTCATAGCATAAACTGTTATATATCTCTTTTCTATGTGTGTATAATAGAGATTTATTGCTCTTTTACCATCTGTTTTCAAGATTTTTTTTTATTCTCCCACTGCAAAGTGCTTAATATGGCAGGGTATTACAAGCTATCATATTCTAATACCATTTTTATTTGCCTAAGTTAATTGCCAAAGTGCCGGGATAAGAAACAAGAATAGTGGCCAGAGTGAAAAAGACATCCCTTGTCCAGCATTTTTTCCTGGAACTATGGCATTGTGGATACCACTGCCCCCAGCTCCATTGGTTGAGTTCTTTACCCGACCATTGTGTCCATTGCAGCGGTTTTGCTGGCAGGATGTGTAGTAAGTGCGAAAAGTTTCATCTGGCCTGTTTCCGTACAGCATCTGCAGAAAAATAAACAATAACGTTCTAATCTGTTTGTTTTTATAAAAGCCAATCAAAATATGATATGAATTTCTAATATCTATGCATATTTATGGTTTGAAATAATAATTTTTGTCATATGAAAAGCAAATAAAACATGTCTCTCTATGCAAATATTACTGGTTTCACTTACCACCGGCTCGTCCTGGCAATCACGCAGGAAGGACATTACCTTGCTCGAGTTGCGCTGAAATGGAAATGGAAATGGGGAATCCACATTACAAATATCTGTGTGACTGATTAATGACACTCGCACTCTCGCCTCCCCGCCACCAATCATCACACTTGGCCACAAGGGCTTATTTGCATTTCGCATATCGTATCTGCGAATCGAATTTGCATTTGCCCTCGTTTCAGCGGGCAAAGTAATTAATGCCCCGGGTCCCAAGTTCCCAAAGGGGGGGGGGATTGCAGCTCCGAACCGGCACCGAGGCAATCTATGACCCCAAAGCTAATGCGTAAACAAAGTTCACACTAGGGACACACGGAGTGGATGGATAGAGAGTTGGACAAAGTTTTAATTGCATTGCAGCTTGCCGGCAAATGGCAATGCGAAATGCGACTAACATCTAACATAAGTTTCGGAGCACGATTTCTTTGATCCTCCGAAATTCAATCAGCGAATTCGGCCCGTCTAATGAGGCACTTGCAAATTTCGAAACCTCATCTGGTTATATAAGAACCGAAAAGCGGAGTGGGGCCTTAAAAGTAGGCGACAAAGTTGACTTTGTGGGGGTGTAAGCTGGCCTAAGCCTTCCATGGGATTGGGCATAGGATCCCGCCTATGTGGAGTCGATGGGTGTCCTCCCCCCAAATACTATGTGTGCTCTTTACACGCCCTTCTGGCTTTCCATTAAATTATGGTAATGGATTTTTTATGCACTCGGTTCTTGTGCTTATTTTACGCCCGCTTTCCCTTACGTTTCCCGGCTCTTTTGATTTGAGCCGCTTACTGGTGAAAATTAAAGCCAGACGAGCTGCGTCAATACTGTGGAAATAATCAAGGAGTGGAGCTTCATCAGGCGTCTGCACTTGATTGCCGCACAGCTACACAAAGAAGACTTAACCCTCTGAGAATAATTCTCTTTTGTTTGAAATCAAGAAGAATCAAGGGCTTAACGAAATGTCTAGTCGTCCGTTATTCAAGTATACTTTCTTTTCCAGAAATGGTTAGTCAGAATCGATGAGAAATAATTAAAATGTAACTGCGGGTTTCTTAGGTTTTAATTTTATATCTATTTTGCGTAGTTCCTAATCTGGACGATATATAAAAAATAAACGTTTGTATAGGGCATTTTAAAGAACGGAACAATATTATATAACTGAAAATATCTACACCTAATACAAGACTAAAGCATAAGCTACCTAAAATTTGGTTAATCATTCCCAAAAAAAACAATCAAAAACGAACATTTTAGGACATATAGGACCTGAAAGGTACAACATTTTTCTGGGTGTGCGTATTGGAAAGTTATTTTCAGCTTCAACGCTCACATTACTCATACGCCGCGAGGGCCGACAGAAAGTGCAGCTCAGGATTCAATTAGTCGAAGTACAGAGCTGGCACGATTTAATGGTTGCTCGCATTTTTTTATTTGTTAGCTTGTCCTTTACGTGAGAGTCGCTAATTTTGAGAAAGGGGCGAAACTTTAGCTGTAGCAACATTTAGCCGAACAAAGTTGGACGATGCATAAAATCAGGCATTCCATGTGTTACTTTGTTGCCGCAACAGCTGCGCTGCGGCAGCTCGAAATTGGGAGTGTGTCTGCAGATGGCTGCCGGCATACGTGAAGAGTTAAACGCTCCGCAATTCCCGTCCGCCGACGCCCGGGAACATTTGCGGCACGTTCGCCGGCGTTTTACGACCAGGGAGAAGTTTTTCCGGCTTCCACTAAATTTTCACACACATCGATGAGCGGAAAGTGTATGTAGTTCTGTAGTCTTTTTACCCAGCCGAGTAGGCAGAACTTTTTTCATCTCTAATCTTAAAACATCGAAATATTTACATTTTTAGAATTTCAAATGTTAGAATAAATGTATTGGTATCTTTTTATGATATGCTAATACCAAATAAACACATCATACAACTTTTATGATCTTAATATTATGTGAGCAGAGCAAAGTAATAAAGCATATGATATGGAATATGTTACATGATGTCATCAGGAAAATTTACATTAACATATACATTTTTGGCATCTCTAATCTTAAATCCTCGAAATATTTAAAATTTAAGTACCTCAAATGTTAGTAATAATTGAATGCTATCTTTTTAAGATCTATTACCAAAGAAGCATCACATAAAAAAGTATTTAGGCATAAGATATGGAACATATTATATGATGTCATTAAGAACATTAGCTTTCCCTGTAGGGAAAGATAGCACACACTTACCAGCAGTTCCTGGCGCACCGTCACACAGTACTTCTTGGTGCAGTTGATCACACGCACTGCACTGGCGTTGTTCAGGCAGGAGGTATCACTGTACCCATCCAAATAGCTGCATGCATAGCAATCGAGTGCTGCAAAGTGTACGATATATAAAAGAGGATTGAACGAGGTCATGACGTTGCCTTTCGTTTTCGTTTCGCTGTTTTCGAATTCAAATTTGATTTTGATGATCATCGTAATGATCGTGTTGTCGCTGTGCTTTTCTTAGAATTTATTAATAGCCACCCCCCAGCAGTGGATGCAATAACAACAAACATTAGCATCTATAAAAACACAATAATTAATTGAATTTAAGTGAGAATTTTGGCAGCAGACTTTCTGTCTATTTGCCAACTGGCACGACAACGTCCTCGACATGTATCGCCGGCTATATCTATCTAAATGCGTATACGCGGAGCACATTCTAAATTTGAATCAGCCTTTTGTGTAATAACAATGACGTCAATGGCCCCACTAGTGGCCACTGCTTCAGACCAAGATGTGTAAACGGATTGATGACACGAGACTTTTGGGCCGACCCTCGACAATGGTACATACCCGTCAAAAGAAACGGCATTGAGATGGTGGGGATCGTAATCCCTAGCTCTTACCACGAACACGGTTCTATTTCTGTTGTGATTCTGCATTATGAGTTCTGCATAAAAGTGTAACCGCGGGGATCGTTCTTGGCACGCTTCGATGCGGTTCGCGGTATTCAAAAGATAGAACATTGTATCATCTCGAGTAGAACTGTCACAATGGGCTCGAATCGGCGAAAAATTCAAATTATTTTATGGGATATTTGATCTAAATATATGTCGCCGATGGGAATTTAATGATTACTCATTTACATAAAAATAGTAAATACGATGCAAGCGATTCTGCAATATTTGCCATTTGCTGAAAATATTTAAACTATTAGATATTTGCTGTAAATCAAATTCAAAGAATTGTGTAAATCAAGCGATTAGTCATATAAATACAATTAAAGATCATAATGCATGCATTATATCTGTAATATCGGATATTTCAAATGATTCAGTTCAATATGATTTATAAATAAATTGAATAATTATCATGGCATTATTAATTTTGAACCATATTGTTATAATCATATATTTATTTCCAAAATAAACTTTTTGTATAGGAAACATTTCGTTTTAAAAGGCATATAGGGTTCACCTCCAATGTGACAGAAGTCCTTTGTAATTTCCCTAAGTGTAAGCTTCAATTCTAAAGATAACCATTGAGCTTGAGTGCCCTCAGTTCCCATTCCACTGTGCCTGGAAGAACTCGCAGTTGGGAACTCGCAGGGTCTTTGAATAATGATTTGTATCATCTTTTGTGAGGCAATCAATAAATTTGAACGCGGTCACAGGCGAGTGACGTCGACAGCTGAACTCGACAAAAACATAACGAAGTGAACCGAACCGAATTGTAAGAATAGAACGGAAGGCACAGTTCTGTGAATTCAAATGGGTATCCATGTCCGTGTCGAGAAAAATGAGGGAAATGAGTGCCAAGAACATTTCAAATTCACCTGATTTTTCTCGCTAATTTTCCGCTGAGTTATGAGACGTAGAACGCCAATTTCGCAATAAAACAGCTAATTAAGTTAAACGGAAAACGATCCGCTAAGCGAGCACTCAGTGCCACTCAGTGGGTAAGGTTAGGATTTTGTTTAGGTGGGTGTTGTGGGTGATTAAAGAACCCTGTTAGGAATATACCATTTGAGAGGGTTGCTGACATTAAGGCGACGCAGAGTCCTATTAAGAGTAAGGATTTTGACAGTCCAAGCGGCGTTTTCATGGTGCTGACTTCTATTGAGATTCAGGCTCTGACAGCTGTAGACGCGAAACCGAATCCGGAATTCGAATTCCGGAATTGTTGGGTTCGATGGCTGGCACTTGACTGACTTGAGTGGAGTTCGATAGTCGTCCGCGGCGATTGATGTTTGACACATGGCAAACAATACGCGATACAAGTACCTACATATACCCCTTCTTATCAAAGGCAAACATAGAATGCAACTTTATTTGAGCTGTAATTAATGGAAACCATTTCACTATTTCCTTGTTTACAGCCCGACCGCTATGTCCCCGGCTCCCCCATCTTCCGCGACACCAGCAGCCCAACGCCCCACCCCGCCCTCACGGGGCCTATAACATCACCGCCCACCTCAGCCTCCTCCGCCTCCGCTTCCGCATCCGCCTCCGCCTCCTCCTCGCCATCCCCCTCCGCCACCGTCGCCAGCAGCACCGCCAGCAACAGCACCACCGCACCAGGAGCAGCACCAGGATCAGCAACGTCCAGGAGCCGAGGAGTCAGAGGTGGGTACAGGTTTAATTAATACTTCACATTTACGTGGAAACCACGTAATTGAGTTTTAAGAGTACCGTTTTTTAGTAGAACATTGAAGAAAATGTTGATATTACCTAGTTCTTAAGATTCCTATTATAATAAAAAAAGATAAGACTTATAAGATAAGATGAGACGCTCTTTAAGAAAACTTGAAGAATATAATAAGGTTTATAAAAGACTTTTCGCAGCACATAAAATATATTTCGTTTCTAGTAATTATTTACAATAGAGTAAAATGGTATCCGACTTATTATTCGGATCAAATCTACAAGATCTATTGGCAGTAGTATGTTGAATGCAACTTACGTCTTAAAGCCCCTATATCATACAAAAAGTATTAAGTAAGCAAAATTAGGAATATATTACTGTTCTTCAACATGGAAGGCCTGTAGGTAAATACAGAAAAAAGAACACAAAAAGTTATCACCATAAATCATTTTATAATATTCTAAGATTTCAAAATAAATTTTCAAACTTTTCCTAGAAAATGAATAATTCCAATTCCTGAAAAGATTTCCTCGTGCTGAAACCCATTTTTTCTGTGTGTAGGATAAGATTTGTGGCCTGATGGCTGATAGTTGACACAGTTTTTGCGACATTTGTGTAAATAATGTACAATGGAAACATGCAAATGGCCCTGCCCGTATAATTTCCGGCCCTGTCAAACTTTGCGCGAATTCTGGGCCAAAGTCTTCGTCGGAGTCGACCTCTTTTTTGCGCCTCGAGTTCCCTGACCTCCGCCCCTCGATTGGACTAAGCTGGGGGGGGGGGGGGGGGGGGGGGGGGGGGGGATGGCGACCTTATGGGGAATCTGGTTGAGTGCGATTGGATAAACAACGACAATTAGAAGGGAGAGTGGACGGGTAGACAGACCGAAGACCGGGATATTCTGTCGTCCGGTTCGCACAATTAATTGTGGAATGGAATTCGATTATTTGATGATTATTATCTCAGCGCCGTTTGATTGTGTGCTTTGTTTTTCCACGAAAAGTTCGCTCCGTTTACGTGCGAAAATCTATCGCCCATTCTCCACTTTGCGGCCAGGGAAAGTCCCCGGGGACACGCCATTCTCCACTGGGGATCGGAGCCCAGTTACCCCCCGTTTGGGGTTGAGTCACCTAATGGCGCAACATGTGAGCCACCGGCGAATGAGGTGCCCGTGTCACGCTATAGTCCATCGATTTTATTTGTTGATTTAGGATAGAACAGCGATTGTTGGAGAGGGGCAGAAGCTCACAGTTCGGTTAGAAATCATACATATTAAACCCGTATTCCAAGAATTCTTGTATTTGCCTTTTTTTAAAGTGCTATCAATGCATTTTTATTCTCATTCATTGATTTCTTGGAATTATGTTTCAATTAAGAGGGGGTATAATTGCAATTATAACTAAGTTTAGGAAGGGGCAAATTTAATTAAATAAATGACAGAGCAACGCAGTTCTTATTAGACTAAAAGGGGTTACATAATTCCGGGTACTCACAAATTTTACAAAAGTTAATTAGTCTATTAAATTACCTTGCCGCTGAACAATTCAAAAATTCTAATTTAAAATCAAATGGTTTGGCGACAGGTTAATGTTTTTATAAACGAAAATAAATTATAAATAATCACACTTAGAACGGGTTGAAATGTATATAACCCCTAATATAATAAGATTAATGTAAATATTAAGATATTTTTAAAATAAAATAGATGACAACTTATTCCTAGAAAGCAACATTTAGTTTAAAATGTAGTTTGTTTTTAAAAATACGAGCAACATATTGTATTTGTGTAGTTTACAAACCCATTATGAGCAACCACAATAGGAAACCGCAGGCTCTAAATTAAAGGGTCCCAAAGGGAAACCGCAACTGTCTTTGGCCTGTCATAACCGACTTTCGATTTCCTTTTTGTATCCCGCAGCCATGACGGCATCTCTAGCTCATGCCGCACAGGGTAACCACAACAACAATAGCAACAGCAGCAGCAACAACAACAGCAGGAGCAACTCCAACTCCAACTCCATCTCCGGAAAGTCCAAGCCACCGGCTGGTTACATGAGCACCCGATCGGCGGCGATGATGGCCTTGGCTTTGGGTCAACCCTCGGGCGGCAGGAGCGACAAGTCACCACCCGCACCTCGAGCCGCCTCACCCGCCCAATCTCAGTCCCAATCCCAATCGCAGTCACCGCATCCTGGGGCCAGAAGGATATCGAATGCCTCTTCTCTGCCCAACAACGTGTCCAGGTCGAAGCCTTCTACGCCCACGGCGACCAGGGCGGCCGCCCAGCTAAACGGTTCCGGTCTATTCTCCGGCGGCAGCAACTCCAGTGGCTCCGACAACGATGGATTCAGTGCGTCCGGCTCTTCGGCGGCCACAGCTCTCCGGCGGCTGTACTTCAAAAGCGGTCGGAGCATCAAGAACAAGATCAATGCCTCGACCACATCGGCTACTCCTCTGAACGGACTTCCCTTGAATCCCGTGTCCAGTGCCTATCACAACTCCGTTGGCGGACCCATGCACAACATGACAACTGCAGGTGGAGTGCCTAAGGTAAATATTGGGGACAAGATGGGGAAATCTACATATTTAATGGGTAATAATATTATGGAAGTTGGTTGATTTATGGGATTTTTAATTGAAAACACTCTTGTAGACCTGATTTTTTATCAAACATATATACATAGATATGTTTACCATCATTTTTACTGATGTTCTATATGGCATATGTATAAATAGTATTTAAACTGTCATAAATTGACGTCGAATTTTATGTGAAATGGTTTTTATACCCGTTACTCGTAGAGTAAAAGGGTATACTAGATTCGTCGGAAAGTATGTAACAGGCAGAAGGAAGCGTTTCCGACCCCACAAAGTATATATATTCTTGATCAGGATCACTGGCCGAGTCGATCTAGCCATGTCCGTCTGTCCGTCTGTCCGTCTGTCCGTCTGTCCGTCTGTCCGTCTGTCCGTCTGTCTGTCCGTCCGGATGAACGCTGAGATCTCGGAAACTATGGGAGCTAGGCTATTGAGATTTGGCGTGCAGATTCCTGAGCTTCTTACGCAGCGCAAGTTTGTTTCGGCACAGTGCCACGCCCACTCTAACGCCCACAAACCGCCCAAAACTGTGGCTCCTACAGTTTTGATGCTAGAATAAAAATTTTAACTGAAATGTATTGTTCTCATCAATACCTATCGATTGACCCAAAAAAAAATTTGCCACGCCCACTCTAACGCCCATAACGCTTAAATCTGTATACCGCCGGTAGGTGGCGCATTTTAATCTCGCTTTGCTGCTTGCATATCTCCATATAGCTGAGTAACGGGTATCTGATAGTCGAGGTACTCGACTATAGCGTTCTTCCTTGTTTTAAATATTATTTCCAGCCACATTTGCTAGGCTACACAATTTTTGTATAAAACCAAAATCAGATTTATGCATAACCCGATTTTTGGCTTGAACAAAAACCATAAAAAATCGGATTTAAAAATCCCAAGTCTACTCGTAAAGCACCAACAATCCTTTTATTTATTTATATAAAGCTAAAACTAGAATAAAATCTATGGGCGGGGGCTTAAGTACGGACATTTCTCTCGAAATTCATGGTTTAACTATTTTAAGAAAATTAAACCAAGCTTTTTACTTATTTGATGTATGGGGTATCTATCATTTTTCAAATCACTAAGTATTAACAGACCCAAAGTAATTGCTCTACTCCGCTTGCAGCTGGTGGTAATGGGCACCTCATCGGCCTCTATTCCGGATACCACCATTAACACGTCCACGGACTCGGCCTGCACCCTCATCACGAACGTAACCCACACGGACACCTCTGAGACGTACGACTCCCTGGACTTGGGTAAGAGCACACATCCTGATTTGATTGCTTGATTGATGTCCTCGCGAGCCGCATTAATTAATCAACTAATCAATCTGGCCCGCTCCTTCGCGGGTTCTTTGTGTATTCCCTTCTCAGGTGACAACTCGGGACCCAGCGAGCCGCTTTTCAGTTCGCTGGAAGAACCGCTCCTCACCGCCGTCCACATCGATTCGGAGCACGAGGGATTCGGAGGAGTGGGTGGCATGGGTGGCCTGGGCGGTGTGGGAGGTGCCAATGGACGCGGTGCCACTGAGCTGGAACTAACGAGCTGTTCGAGGTACCCGCCCAGGCCCGACATGAATCTCCAGGACAGCGTCGAGGTACGGAACGGAATTAAATTCCGGATTAAGCCAGCTTGGCCAGCAACCGCTTCCGGCACTGAATCATGTGATTATTTACTTCGCATTGTACTCGGAAGTCACTGAAGGGTGCCTGAAACGGTTCTTTGTTCCGTTTTAAAGCCTGAAATTCAGCTTATTCTTCGGTGCTGTTTAAAATTCCATAAATATAAATCTTTCTAAATTTATTATTAGCAACTTAGAACAAATGGCAGTTGCTAGCATCGTGAATTAAAGTCAGGAACAGCTTCAACAAGAAATGAGAAATTTCAATTTAATGGGATACTATATTTGCTTTGTAATATTTTTAAACTTATTTATACAGAATA